TAACGTCCTGGAAGGAGGTGCTTTCGCTGATTGATATACTCCTGCACTTTGCGCCACCCCTGCTGGTGTGCGTGATTCATGGGCTCGATGTCATTCAAGATGCGTCGACAGATCAGTACATCCGCTCATTGGTGCAGACCTTTCTGACTCATACGCGGCACCGGCCAGAACTGCTGCCAAACGGCAGACAGAGCCAGAGCGTATTACTGAAGGTGCTGTTCACGGTGGCTGGTCGGCCAAGCTCGCTGGTGGAGACATTATCCGAGAACCAGCTCATTCTGCGGGAGTCGAATACGACCGAGGAGCTGGCCCCGACCGACGCCGCCTTGGACGCCGATGTAGCCCCTACGGCCATGATTGCATAGTCATTTCGATGCTTCAGTGACGCCGCATTGCGATTTGAGTTTGATTATTCTTTTCTTTCGGGTGAAAAATCGGGTCCTCATAGAATTACATGCAGGCTGGGAATATTCTTCATGTTTTGGATATAAGATGGGTTGAAATGGGCTGCTGGATGATGCATTGTGTGGATTCTTCCTTTCTTTCGTAACATCACCTTCCCTAGAATAAGGGGAGCTTATAACGATTGTTTTTCTTTTCTTTTCTTTTTTTTTTTTTCCCCCTGCATGTTGATGGAGATACTTTTATTGTTTGGGACAGGCACATCTCATCTTATCTCGGAAGCACGGAGTATACGACAGGACCGGTTTGGAGGGAGCATTTGGGTGTACATTTGTAATCATAGCAGCTCGACGAGGACATGCATATACGAAGGCTGTTGCTAGACTGATACTCGGAGTTGCAGTGGCTGTCCTGATCTGGATCAGATTCTCTGTTAGTTGTCTTTCCCCGGATCGCCGAGTGTTCTTGGCACCCTCGGGTTTCATTTTCCGATGCAGTGCAGCTGCATCCCATCCTCTTCCCCACAATCGTTCTGTTTTTTTTTTTTTTTTTTTTTTCTTTTGTATCCTCTTCTGAAGCCTGTACGAGTCAGCCAAGCGAGCATTCTCCACTGACTGCGTCTTCCTTTGGTTGTGTGCGTGACCTGCTGTGTTCGGGATTTAACGTGGGACTCCACTGACTGCGTCTTCCTTGGTTGTGCGCGTGACCTGCTTGTTCGGAATTAACGTCGGAGTTGGATCCGGAACTGCACCTCCGTCCCAGATATATAATTATTGAACTCTCCCATGCTGGTGGACAACGCAGTCAACATCAATCGTCTTAAACCATCTCCAACATGGGCTCCAACGGACTTCGCACCAGCTCCAACCGGCTATTTCAGCTGGATTCCGTCAATGTAGAGGACTTCAAGAAAATCTGCTCCCAGACCACCGACCCCACCAGCTATCCGCTGGCCGTGACCGTGCAGAAGAACATCCCCTTCTATGATGCCGCCACCTTCGATCCCCTGAGTGCGGATACCACCCCGGCTCTCCAAGCAGAATGGCATCACATTCTCGAATCTGGACCGGGCATCTTCGTCCTCAAAGGCATGTACCATCCCTCCCGGTACACAGACACCCTGAACGCCACCAACACGGCTTTTCAACACATCATCGACCGGGAGCGCCAGTCCCTGGGTCCCAAGGGCGACCATTTCGCTGCCAGCGGGAAGAATGACCGCATTTGGAACTCCTTTAGCAAGCACGCCTTTGTCGACCCCAGCTCTTTCATCGACTACTACAGCAATCCCTGGCTGCGTGTGGTTAGTGAAGCCTGGCTAGGCCCCGCCTATCGGGTGACCGCCCAGGTCAATATCGTCAAGCCCGGTGGCGCCGCCCAGGATAGCCACCGAGACTACCATCTTGGATTCCAAGAGTTGGATCGATGTGCGGCATTCCCGCGGAGTGTTCAAATCGCCAGCCAGTATCTCACGTTGCAAGGGGCCGTCGCACATAGCGATATGCCGGCAGAGAGCGGTCCCACGCGGTTCCTGCCGTTTAGCCAGACATACGCGCCGGGATATCTGGCATGGCGCCGGGACGACTTCCGGGCATACTTCAACGAGAACTATGTGGCGTTGCCGTTGGAGTTCGGCGATGGATTGTTCTTCAATCCGGCGGTATTCCATGCCGCAGGGGCCAACGACATGGCCGAGAGCACGGGCTTTCATCGCAAGGCAAACCTGTTGCAGATTGGATGTGCCTTGGGGAAAACGATGGAGCACATCGATGCAGTACCGGTGGTGGACAAGTGCTGGGAGGAGGTCAGTGAAAAGTATCGCCGGCAGGGAGGGCTGAATGCAGAGTTGGAGGCATGGGTATATGCCGTGGCAGATGGGTATCCATTTCCCTCGAATCTGGATCGTCGCCCCCCTGCTCCGAGTGGGATGGCACCGGAGAGCGAGCAAGAGATGATTCTGCGGGGTTTGAAGGAGGGTTGGGATCGGACCAGGATTGTGGAGGAGCTGCGAGCGCTGCAGCGAGAGGGACGGGGGCACCAGGAGGTGTAGTTGATAAATATGCATTCTGTTGTACGTGTAGATAGTTGATCATAAACCTATGGAGGACCATTTCTCCGATGCAACCCCATCTCGTGTTCTTCCACTCTACACTCCCACAAGACGAAGCTCAAGTAGGACAACTACTGCCACCATGTGATCCGTCCCTATCATCCTACGTTATTCTCACGATCAAACCGTCCACGCTTCCACCATGCCCATTCCCATACCGACCCAACATGCTGTCCTTCTGGCAGTTACTTCAGCTACTGCTGGCCACCCTCCCAGCAGTAGCCATCAACCTCACCGGCTACGAGTACATCGTCGTAGGCTCTGGCGCCGGCGGAGGCACCTTGGCCGCCCGCCTAGCCCTAGCAGGCCACTCAACCCTGCTCCTCGAAGCCGGCACCGACCAAGCTCACAACCTCAACATCTCCGTCCCAGCCTACGCAGCCCTCGCCGCCGCAGATGACCATCTCTCCTGGAACTTCTTCATCCGCCACTACGCCAACGACGCCCAACAAGCCCGCGACCCCAAAACCGTCTACACCACGCTCACCGGCGAGCAATACGTCGGCCTCCACCCACCCCCAGGATCCATCATGAAAGGCATCCTGTACACCCGCGCCAGCACTCTAGGAGGCTGCACCGCCCACAACGCCCTCGTCGCCATCTACCCCCATCGCTCCGACTGGACCTACATCGCCAACCTCACCAACGACTCCACGTGGCTCCCCGGCCCCATGCGCAAATACTACATCCGCCTCGAAAACAACCACTACCTACCCCCGGACGTCCCAGGCCACGGCTACACCGGCTGGCTTTCCACCGAACACGCCCCTATCAACCTCGCCTTCCAAGACCCCCAACTTCTCTCCCTCCTCCTCGGCGCTGTCTTCACTCAACCCCGAACCATCCTCTCCAACCTCATCTCCCTCCTCCTCGGCGACGTCAACTCCCCCTCCCCATCCCGCGACTCCAAACCCGCCTACTACCAAACCCCCATCGCCACATCCTCCAACGTCCGCAACGGCGCCGCCGACTTCCTCCGCGCCGTCCTCTCCGCTACCAACCCAGACGGCACCCAAAAATACCCCCTAACCATCCGCACAAACTGCCACGTCACCCGCGTCCTCTTCAACACCACCTCCCACCCCCCCAAAGCAACAGGCGTCTCCTTCCTCAACGGCCCCTATCTCTACCGCGCCAGCCCTCTCTCCTCCCCCCACACCCCCAGAACCCCCGGCACCGCCACCGCCACCCGCGAAGTCATCCTCTCCGCAGGCGTCTTCAACACGCCCCAGATCCTCCAACTTAGCGGCATCGGCCCCGCAGACCTCCTCCAGAAACACAACATCCCAATCCTAGTCAACCTCCCGGGCGTCGGCGCAAACCTCCAAGACCACTACGAAACCTCAGTAGTAGTCGAAGCCCCATTCCCCTTCCGCATCCTAAACGGCTGCACGTTCAACTACACGTCCGACCCGTGTTTGATCCGCTGGTCGAATCCGAAAGGACTTCATAAAGACAGGGGGATATATTCCTCTGCGGGATTTACCAGTACATTACTCCACCACACCCCCTTCCCCAACACATCCACCACCACCCCTACTATTGACCCCAATACCAACGATGACTACAACAATGATGACTACAACACAATGATCTACGGCGGCCTCGTCAACTTCCGCGGCTACTTCCCCGGCTTCGAAGTCAACCTAACCCTAACGCACCACTCCTTCACATGGGCGATCATCCAAGCACATCCATCCAACAGAGCAGGAACAGTGAATATCTCCTCATCGGACCCGATCGATCCCCCACATATCCTCTTCAACTCCTTTTCAGATCCTGATTCAGAGAAGGATCTATTCGCCTTAGTGGATGCGATTAGGGTTGCGAGAAGAGCACTGAAGAGACAACTTATACCTACGTGGGAGACGCTCCCGGGAAAGGAGGTACGCGGGTATGAAGAGCTGAGGCAGTATGTGTTGGATACATCGTGGGGGCATCATGCTGTGGGGAGTTGTAGGATTGGAAGGGGTGAAGGGGATGATGATGAGGGGGCGGTGGTGGATGGGAAGTTTAGGGTTAGGGGCGTAAGGGGACTGAGGGTCGTGGATGCGAGTGTGTTTCCGAGGGCGCAGGGGACGTTTCCGGTTTTGGGGGTTTATATGTTGGCGGAGAAGGCGGTGGGGGATATTTTGGGGGATGATGGGGGTTGAGGTGGGGTGGGTTGTATGTGGTTGGGGAGGATGTTATGTAGGTTTGTGGGTGGGATGATGATAGATAACGGTTTGATGATGTAGGGTTCGTCTCGGCCGTAGTAGTTAGTGGGTCAAATTGGCTGTTAGTAACTAAGTTGGTCTGTCTACTAGTGAGTTAATAATTAAGCAAGATGCTGTGGAATTACTAATGGATTTACGTGCCATTACAGGGTATTGTTTGTTTTCTTTGGGATAAGAAAAATGGTATTAACTGGAAGCATAAGGCATGGGTGACATATAAGTGAAATGGTATTCTGGCTGGGTATAGTATTATGGATTATATAGCGAGGGATATCAGTGGGTAGTGCGTTGTAAACAGAAGAGTGAGAGTAGGTAAAAGAAAGATAAAAAGGGAATCGTAAGGAAAGAGTAGGAAAAGGTCAAGAGGGAATAGGAAGAAGAACAAGATGAAAGGCGTTGCCAAGAGAGTCTGTAAGCAAGAGAGGGTAAGAAAAGAGAAGAGAAAAGGAATCACAAACTAAGTGAGGGCAAGTGTGAATGAGTGTGTGGTGAGGGAAAGGAGGAGATCATCTCTTGTTCAGATAGTTTTTGATCTCTTGGTTGCCTCTTTCCCTCACATCCGTGAGCCAATCTCTCACTCCCCGGCTACTATCTCCCACCCGGATCACACCGTCCTTCACACCCTTCCATCCTCTGATGGGTTGTTCTATAAAACTGTGATTGCCCCAGCACACCTTAGACCAGAGCCCCTTGTCCCGCGAGTTCCGCAACCCAGCCCGGCTCTTGTTGCAGTCATTGCAGTAGTCAGTTGACGGGCAGTCAAGACACATGTACCACTGAGGTTCCTCCAAATTCCATTTGCTTAACTTCGGTTTATTGCAGGGCCCCATGCACTGCAGCGTGCAGCCATTGCTTTCATCGATGTTGATAGTCTCGTCCGGGATGGGGATACTGTCGGGGGTCGTCACTGCCGTTGTTGGGGACTCGTTTGTACCATCAACGGAACAATGACAAGTGCACGCGCTCTTGACGGACTGTGGGCTTAACGGCTCTCCAGGATGGGCTGCTGGCGTAGCGGCGGTGCTGCTTGGGTCCACCTTCAACCCCATCCATCCATCGACAGCAGGCTTTGGCGCATCGCGATCGTAAAGAAATGCCGACAAGGTATGTTGGAATTCATCGTCACTGACCTGGACCGCGTCGGCATTGGCACGATCAAAGATAAGAGACGCTGCAATTCCGGCATCCTTTCGGAGATTAAGCCAATTCAGCACCTTTGCCAGTGTACGGAAAGCAGACATGTCGTTATCATCAACCCAATCGTCCAGATCGGCAATGCAGAGCTTGAATGCTTGGTCGGCTATTTCGTACGCCCGACGTTTATGGTTTATGATTGAAAACATTTTGGCGAGCGTTATGAGAGCATTAGCCTTGGCAGATGATTCTATGACATCTGCTATCCGGACATTGTTGATCAGATCGGCCGCTGCATAACACAGAGCCATCCTCAACGATTGGACCTTCGTCTTGCTGAACCGATAATAGTAAATGTCGAAGCGCTCTGTGATAATAATGCTGAGCAGTCTAGAGTCGACTTGAAGGGTCTCGTCTCTTATCATAGCGTCCAGTATCCTGTTAAAAATATCCTCGGCCATCCTGATTGCATGGCAATCTTGTCGGTAGATGACCGCAAGTTCCGATAGCATAACGCATGTCTCATGGAACAGCCCTTGATAAGCCCAATAATTGATGGCACTGTCGTAAATTCGTATAACGACTTCAACGTTGCCAGTTGCCACGGCTGCCCTGCGGAGCCAGTCATCCTTGTTCGTTTGGCGAGAGCGGCTCATCAGCCAAGTGGGAATGAAGTTGGCTTCCTGGGTAACCATCTGCCTTTCTACCGTATTGATGATCTCCATATGATCTTCCTTCTCCGCATAAATCTGCACAAGAATAGTCAAGAAATAATTAAGCCCTCGGCATTTCTTGAAGTCGCCGCTTAGCGCGTCTGTGCATCTCTTGTAGGCTAGCTGCTTATCACCGAGGGCCATGCAGGCTTGGACAGAAAGCATATAGACCCTCTTGCATCGGTTAAGATTGAAATTAGGTCGCAATGCGGCATCTGTATTTTTCCAGCACTTGAGGGCTTCATCAGTGTACTCCTTGACTTTGCTCCACTCTTCCATAGCGATGACTCCGGCTTTGGGCACAGAATGTTCTGCAAGTCCAAGCAATGAATATAGCTTCTCTGCACACATTGAATCGTCCAAGTACCGGTTATGCCTATACAAGGAAAGAGCATACTCTCGGTCATTCTGGTTGTCCGACTCATACAAAAGAAGGGCGGCTGTGAGTCGCGCTTGCGCAAACCGTGTGCGCGAGTCTCTGCACCACGCAAACAGATCTTGAGCGATCCTCGTGTTGATCTGATCATCATCTCGGGACCAGTGCTTGTATTGTCCAGTCTAAACATGTTAGCTCACCAAGATTGATTGTTATCGGTACCCAGATACGTACATTGGATAACGCGCGATAGGCAAGCCTGTATGGCACCTTAGCGCCCTCAGGAGTGGACTTTGAAACCCAGCTGCGAATATGGCCTTTAGCTAGATCTTCCAGCATTCCTTCGGGACGCTTCTTCAAGTCTTGGGCCCAGGTCCATATCTGAGTCGGAAGAGATAAGTTTTCCCTCTCGTCTCTTTCTGTCAGCTTTTCTATCCAAGCCCGCACAAGTTCATTGGTGCTCCTGGCCTTGTCGGTATCATAGATATCGAAGTGGATTTGCTTGTCAGATGAGTACCATAGTATATCCTCGAACACAGAAGAAACGCCAGTTTCGTTTGTTAGAACCCTGCCCAAAGCTTCTCCGACCTTCTTCAGCTCCCTACCCCCGATCTCCTGTGGTTTTGCGGGCCTCGTGTCCCTGTAATGTGACATCTTATCTTTGAAGCCCTTCTTAGCATCCTTGGTACTGGGTCGCTGCCATTGGGGAACCATTTCTCTGTCAATGTCTTTTAGATGCTGGATGAGGTGGCAGGCCGCATATTGACAGAGAGGGGTGGGTTTATCCGCTTTGTGATCGCAAAGAACGTCGCAAAGAGTGACAAATATGTTAACCTTCTCAGTATTTATGTCCAGACCTGGCTGGAATTGAGCCCTTTTGACGCATTCTCTGACCTTTGCGTTACGGAACTCGATGTATTGATAATCGCCGATAGACGGGGCTTTGCGGGATTTCTGATTAGAGTTCTCAGTCTCGTGCTCGGGTCGGGAACACCAATATAGCTCGCGGTCCAATTTCGAGGGGCCCAGGTCGGGAGGAAGCATCTGCCGCACGAAAAGGAGACTATGAAAAGGTCAGAGTGAACGTGTATCGCGCTTTCTGGGTTCAGCAGTCCTTACTTCTTACACTGAGACAAGATGGGCTCCAGCCCCAGACCCCTTACCCGCGCATCATCGTCAAGGGCAAGTATCTGATTTAGGTTGGTCACCGTGAGAGTCTGCTTCGCAAATGCGCACCAAAATAGCACCTTTTTGACAGCGTTCTCAAGTGGCTCGTTGTCTTTTGCCAAAGCTCTCCTCACTAAAGCGTCTTCTCCATCACCTATCATCTCTTTGAACCTGCCAAAGCTCTTCGGACCTTTAACTTCATACTGTTCCATGATTTCAATGGTCTGGTCCAATACAGACAGGTTTCCTAGTAGCCATCTACCGCGTTAAAAGCAAAGAACTTCCACATAGGAGGGCCCAGTCAGCTCACCTTCTGATAATTGCTTTATGAAGTCCGAGACCTCCTTGATGAGGTCCTGATGAAAACGTAAAAGGTGCGAGAGCTTGGTAAAGGAACTCATGCGTTGGAGAATGATCTTGTCTTGAAGAGGGTCAGTATTCCACATGCTGATTTCAGGAATGGATGCTTTTTCCGCCAAGTCGGATGGAAAGAGTTCTCCCTGATCGTGAGACCCTGTCAGGAGAACCCAAATACGATGGTTCCTTTCCCCGAGCGTCTCATATAAGAGACCCAAAAGTGATTCTCGCTCTTTGGGCTGCATCTCCGAAACACCGTCCAGGAGGATGTACAACTGTTCGGACGAATGTGATCGCTTCTCAAACCGCTTCAGCACGAGCTCATCCCAGACCATTTTCGCATCGCGCGAATCCAACACAGGTTTGTTGGCTATTGCGTCACACCACTTCGGATCCTGGGCTGCAATTTGGAATAGAATAGAGGCAACAACGCTGGCGAAGCTCTGATTATACTGCATGCCCGGCTCGAACAGAAAGTAAGTGACTATTAGTTGCTGTCGCACCGTTTCTTTCTGAACCAGAGTTTGATCTCTTCCGGCTATTGACGGTATCAGCTGATAGCAATGTGCTGTTAGGAAGGTCTTTCCCACGCCATCACCGCCTTTAAAGTATAATAAAGGACAGGTGCCGTGCGGGTACAGCCACTTCCTAAAGTACTCATGCTTTTCAACCCACAGCAGACCATTATCAATCAGTTGTGGCATGAATGAGTCCATGCGAGTGGCCATTTGAGACATCACAGTGAGGTTGAGATTGAGCTTGCTTTGGAGGGTTTTGGTCAGCTTATCAAACACGTTACCCTTCTCAGACATGCTGTGCATATCGAACGAGAAGGCAGTCTGCTGCATCTTGGTATTGGTATTCTTGATCAGCCAATTAACGCCATCCTTGATCTCTTTGGTGTCATTGTATCCTTCGATCTTTATTGACTTGTGGAAGTTCTTGATCGCTTGTTCAACCTTTTCGCATTTACCGGTGGTCAAGTCGGTTTGGTAATTGAAGAGCTTTTTTGCGAAAAGTGCTGTGATCGGAGACCCCCGTTAGTTGCAACTCTCAAGACAAAGGATGTGCACCTTTCTGTGACTTGCATAGACTTACTGATACGTTTTTGGCTTCGCAGATCGTGCCCTACATAGGAGCAAAACTGCAACAAGGCGATGAAAACACCCACTAGGCTTTGCTTGGCAGTTGGCGTGACGACGGGATATTTGTCGAAAGTATCGATTTCTTGCATTGCAGCAGTGATTGTCTGAAACGTTGTCTGAACAGTGTTCAGGTCTGCGCTCACATCCTGGGCAGCCTGGTTGATATGAGCTATCTGGTCGAAATTGGGCTGGTGAGATGGGGCAGAGATTCCCGCGCATGGCTTACCTTGAGCAAATACGATATGCCCCCAGCGAGCAGCTTGGCTGGTTCGGCATACTAAGTTGGTTAGATAATTGAGCAAAATCCTTTGGAATAACCATATTCATACAGTCCCGCTTGCGTGGCCTTCGACATAAGTGCACGCTTTCTGTGCCCAGGACATACACTGTTGCACTGGCTCGCGTAATTTGTTTCCAAACTCGTGAGCTTGGGGGTGTCTCCAATCGCGGAAAAGGGCCTCTGTTTGAGCGAGAGGGTCGCTTGTTGAGTGGAAGTCGGCTAGCTGCGCTTCTTCGGCTGGGTCGAATTTCAAATCTCCCTTTGCCTTTGCAAAAGCCTTATCCCACAGCTGCGTCATCGATTCCTCGCCATACCCCAATCTTTCATCGTCCCCATCTTTGCGATTCAGGAGCGACTTGACGTCCTTCATTGTGGGCGTATCCGACCGTGGAAGTCAGAGACCTGGGAAAAGCAATCCCACAGTCGTCGCGATGGGGCGAACTGAAATACATAAGACAGGGGGAGGCAGGTGCGGCTGAGCTGAACTTCGTCAGCCATCCCTATTCTTCTCGCTCCATCATTGCTCGATCTGAATCGACCTGCATAGTTAGAGGCACACTAGACGAACCATGGAGCACGGCAGGGGCCCTCATTGGGCCGATCGATCGAAGCTCAGTGGCAGAGATTCCGAGCAGGTGGGGACACGGGAGATTAATCGCTACCCAGCTGACAGCGTGGTTCTTCAGCTCAGAAGCTTACTGATTCTATGCGCTCGCGACGCGTGCACTTGGATTGACTTCTAGCGGAGCAAGTTCATCGAATGTGACGGCTAAACCAAATATACTTATGATGTCTCCATTTCAGCACGTACATCTTGGAGTGATCCATGGATTGGCATGAGGGATGGGTGGCTAGCGCGCATCTCCGGTGTGTTGACGATCAGCAGAGAGACCCACTGTCAAAAGTTTAGCACTTCTCCTGGTTGGATCGCGATGCGGAGGCCCCGTCGCATGCTCCATGCTCCCAACATGGTCCCGGAGCATTGGAACTGCAGCTGCAGGTCGACCATGGACTATCTGACGAATCAGAAGTGTCCTTTGGTGGTCGTCAGTAATGAAGATGTGATTGCAAGAAAGTGATGGCACTGACACAGTGACGGAACCCATCACCCCAAGGGGGAATGATATGCTTCGCCCTGGCATGGGCCCCTTCATCTCCACCGATGACGGATTTGCTGGAATCATTGTGTAAACCAATTGCAGAATAGGGAGGAGGAAGAGAGAGGTATAGAAAGGCAGAGAAGTATAAACACAGACTGGTGTCTGCCATAGGTTCATGCAAGTCATGATAAGATGACATGGCTGCTTGTTATCGTAAGGAGAGGTGGGTACACAACGAGTGAGTACGTACATAGTTTGGTGCTAAACCTCCGATAGTCGGAAGTAACTACCTCAACATCACGTGTGAGAATCACGTCCGCGCATCACGTGATAATATATCAGGTGATAGCAGCCATTCGAGGCTATTCCTCTTTGAGTTACCGTCTCTCCGATCCATCCATCGAAACTCTTGATGGAATCAATTATTCATTGAATGATTGTCCCGACGGGCCTCGCTCTTCCTTCCCGCGGATCAATGTCCGATTTCTTCAATCGACATGGCTCCTACCAGACCTGGCAAGTCGGGTAATTAGCCAGACGTCTACTAATGCAGCTTCGGCCTTCCCCGCTTGAAACCGACTTCCAACCTACACTGAGCCCAAAACCACTGACATCAACATATCACAAACACGATAGAGCGTAAAAGCAAGCATGGACATGAGAGAATGCTTTCAATTTGCCTATTGCAAAAGTACGCTGAAAGCCACACGCTATGTTAACAATGCCATTGGCACCGATTGAGAACGAAATCACCAACGTGCGCTGCTATGCTGCTGGTGGGGCCTGACCGGATATCTCGGTGCTCCAAAGCTCACGTCGTCTGACCGACCATAATTATGAACAAAGAGCAAACAACGTCTTTTGGCTGCCATAACGGGATACTGGTATACAGGGTCTTCTCAATAAGGGGCTTCTCCCCTAGTCGCATCATATGGTTCAACACTTTCATGGCCGCCGCCGCTCGCCGAGTAGTTGCTACAGGGACTTTTCAGGGTCTGTGAACCCTGACAGTCCCTGAACCCTGAAGCCAAGCGCCAAGCGCCAAGCGCCAAGCCCGTCCAGGGCCGACCTCAGCGCGAATACTTGCTGCGCGATTTGTTCGTTGTCCGCGAGCAGTGGATAAACGACCTACTACGTACCCACTCGTTATTTCTTTCATTGGATGGTCACTCTATATACTATATGAATTTTGCTATCCGGCTATGCCGGCACAGCAGACACCTGTCTGGGTAGCAGCATATAAGAGGACCTTCTTCTCTTGAGGAAAGCTAGAGCTGTGGTGTCCCAATCGCTTCTTTCCTACAATAAACCCCAAACTGCCAGCTGCTCCTCTCCAAGACAACGCCCTCAGCCATGCCTTCCTGGATCGTCAAGCTCGGTGCCCTTGTGGCTTTGGCGCATACCGTCGCCGGATCTCAGATTTCCCTCAGGACGACCACGCCGCCTGCGAATGAGTACGTGACACACTGCACTGTCATCCTCGATGATGAGCTTTTTGGCTGCAAGGGCAGTTCGAAGCCTTTCGGAAAGAAGTGCGGCCACAACAGGGGCATCCAGACCAAGTCTATCTGCGATACATCATCCGTCACCGTGGATTGGTCCACCGCCCAGGTCACCTTCCAGGATAACAATGGCCACTCGGCTAACTGCACGCTGAGTTCGACTGAGGAGGGAGGTCACTGCAACACTGACGACCCTGATGAGTTCCCAATTGAGCACAATGGAGCAGAGAGACTCGGAGCCGGAGCTGCCCTCTGGGGTTTTGGCACCATGGCTGCCACTCTGTTTATCTAAACCTAACGATTGAACTCAAGAAACTGGGTAAGTGCTTCCGGGTTGAGGCGTCAGCAATGTCCAACTACTGCTGGTACTAGACAGTCGACTAACAACCTTCAACTTGATCAGGTCTTTCGTCATTTTCGTGATTACACTATACCCATGATCACTGGCTCAGCTACCAAACCATCGATACCGATGAAAGCATGTCTATCATGGATCCCGTTATCATATACCCACGATCTCCCGCATCTATGCCTGAAAGGAAAGGGATAACGCAGGATTGAACACACTGAGGCAATACTTTTTAATGAGCTATTCTATATCTTTCTTCGCCTCTACCATTATGTATATAGATTTATTTCTTAGTCAAAAATAAACGAGGATTAAAAAACCACCACCAAACCTCAATCTCTGATATCCACCCGCCTAGCTACCCTCAAAGCGAGCAGACGAATCTTCGGCACCGTATACCCGAGGTACCACTCAACCCGTCCCGGCCCAACACTTCCGACCAACAACCTGATTATGGCCCTCGTTACCGAAAACGAAGTTAGTTCAGCCAAGGTCATGCTATCAAGCGTTGGGGCTGCCGCGTCTTGGCTCACAGTCGAGGAGGAAAACTCGGCGTCCTGTACCACTTCGGGTAGGGTTTGCATTAGTCCGCCCTCGGCAATGCTTACGAGTGGTATGAAAGGCTTATCAGTTTTGATTTGAGTCATGTATATGTTGGGTTGGTTTGTGTAGAGCTGACTGGGCATGTTGCGTTTCTTTGGGTTGGAAATACATATGCACTCGGATGAATCTTGGTCAAGTGGGAAAGTGCCGAACACGGAAGATGTTTGACTGCACTTAAATTTTCGGTTAGTCTAAGTAATAGTGTTCACTTTAGTTCTATAAACCAATAATCTTCTGAATGGGAAGTAGATAGAACAATCATATATGTGTATGTGTCTATAGGGCAAGGAAAGGAAATAAAAGCTCATAATCTGCCAACTAATACATGAACTAACAAGTCACAAGACATCGATCATAACCAAAACAAGTCTATCATATGTATAATGATGGTTCACCCCGCCAAGTCCCGCTGCGAGGATACCAAGATCCCTGCCTAGTCCAAAGTAGCATAATTTTCCAAACCCTACCATCTAAGCCCACCCTTTCTCAGCATAGCCATAAGAGCCATCGGCTTAGAAAAGCGACGAAGAGCATCCGGCAAGACCCATAGAAACACCAAAGTTGGAAAAGTGTCCAGCAGTGACACCAAGCTGCCCATTACCAGCCGAGCAAGAGGTATCGCGCTCACCACTGCACTTGACCGTGCTGGCCTGGGTTCCGGAGCTGTAGTATTCCTGTAGTAGACCAAAATTAGGAGATTATCTAAAGCGGACCCACAGAAGTAGGAAAACTTACAGTGCCATAGTGAACAAAGTCCCAAGGCCACATGACGTACATGTTCTGAAACATAGCTAATAAGCATTGAAGGTCGGATCAGAAAGGGTTGAGAGCGACTTACAGGAACACCATCATCAGCATTGTTACCACGGTTCAGGGTGCCGTTCTGAGAAGCACCAAAGTTGGCAAAGTCCTCGTTACCGATGGGGTAGGCGGCAAGGGCATTGCTGATGATTGTCTTTCCGGGGAAGTTCTGCGCAAGCGCGATGTAGGAGATGTAGGTGAGAGAGCCACCGAGGGAGTGTCCGGTCGATTCGATGGTATAGTCGGGGTACTGTTCGACCAGCGACTTGACCTCCGAGATCACATCATCGTGTACGGAAGACCAGGGTGAATAGATACCATGCATCATCTTAGCGCCGGAAGGGAAGTTGACGCCAGACAGGCTGGGCTCGACGAGGGTGGTGTCGACGTCGTTGGCAATGTCAATTGCTGTCGTTGATGTCAGTTTAGTTCTTAGTCAATTTAGTTATGGTTTTGATGTACTAACCGCTAGTGGAACCCCTCATGGCGACGGTGATACGCTTCTTATCAGTGGAGTAACCGATGAAGCCCTTGTAGTTTGTTAGTATAAGCAGGCTTGATGGGGGCACGGCACATACCTGGGTATCGGTTGTGAGCTCATTGATTTGCTTGGTGATGGTGACATCGAAGGCAGTACCGGTACAACCGGTGTATGCTGCAGAGGACAGCTGCGCAGCTCTGTGTAGTTCCGTCCATTCGGCCGTATCTGCAAGAGTTAGAGAATAGCGATATCAAAACGTCGTAGAAGGCTAACCGGCAGTGGCTCGAGACTGGAGCATTGGCACAGCCAAAGCCAGAGGAGTTAGGGCGAGACCGCCAAAAAGAGTGGACTTTCCGACACGCATGACTAAAGAAATGAAGGACAAGAAAAAAAGACTGAAGTAAGAAACGAATGGTGCTACAATGAGTCTGGAGTTTGCAGGTAAAGGAAAACAGAACCGTTCTACCCAACTTCCATTTATAATGCTACATCCTTATAATCTGTGCGCCGGTAAAAGCTTGATCGGTTGAAACAACACCGATACATCACCATAGGTCGGGTATCCCGGGAGGGAAAATCACCGGAACGCAAATCTTCCTTGGATAGGATTAGATTAGGTATCGGACTTCGAGACCATGTGCAGCAGTCATCCATGCACCGAGGTTTCAAAAACAAAAATGAAAAAAAGAAAAAAAAGGCAGCTTGCTTGCGGTTGAGAACCATCAGTGGCTCACCAGAATTCGGGATGTGATTAGGGCTTGCTCCGTTGTTTCATGATCGGCTATAGTGGGGATCCGTTCGCGCGACCCAATTTTGAGCCCCGGGCGTTCAGTGGTCGGACCGCACCCTTTGTCCTAATAGTGTAGCTCCTTAGCGGCCGGTAAATGGATTGCCTGGAGTATACTTAAAACCGTTCGACATGTCTCGTCTTCAGCACCTCTGGGAAAACCTCGGAAAGGTGTTTGACACCTCAACACGGGTTCCGCCCCACTCAATCATTTTCGATAGATGTTCGCCCGCCATCACACCGAACTTTGACCGTTGCAGATCATTGAATCGTATGCCAACTCCGCCATTGTCGCGGGATGGATGAAAGGCCTCACACTTGTCCTTGATGTACCGTGTCTGGATGCCGAGACTGAACGGTAGCATGGATTAAGCGAACTCAAGCATGCCGTTAAATCTACTAAAACACTTGCCCCGGACCATTCCTAACATTAGACCAGTTATCTGGTTTTTGTGGCAGATTATGGTCACGAGGTAAGTGCCCTGTCTCACGGTTTCAGGGTAATGGAAAAGGAAATATCCGCTTGTTTTAATTTACGGCGTATCCCATTCCGATCATTAACCACGAGGCACTGTCCATGATCGTGAAAACGCATGGACGGGACTGTCAATCTGTTGATCATAGGACTGCGGACCGAATTCGAGAAGATCAGTCCCACAAAGTATGACTACGGGATGTTCATGGAAGGATTGAAAGGTGTGAACCGTCACAATTGCCATTCTCATGGCCCACATGGTCCTGCCCAATTCTCAGTCGTTGTTACCGGTCTTCCCGAGGCGACAAATTGCAGGAACTTGATCGTAATCGTCGTTCCACAGAGATATGGGCCTAGCCAGCTTGGTTAGAATGTGTATTGCGGAAATCTGGATAGCCTCCTATTGTGTCCTGGATTCCCCAGATAGAGATTATAGGAAGACCAAGCCGAGGTCCGCTGATATGCCGTTCAGCGTAGGCACAATACTGCCCAGAGCTCCATGGCCTTCTTACTGGTCAGAACGGTTTCTTGCTTATTGAAAGCAGCATCGCGGTTGCCTGAAAAAAACCTTCGATCATTGATCCGGTATGACTTAGCACTCTGATCGTTACGTGTATATTTCTTGCAGTTTCTACGAAATAGGTCATGGATCGTTCGTATTTACCTACATGATCAGTATTACATTCATTTCCCTCAGATCAAACCAGGTGAAGCCGCCTTTCTTCTCATAATTTCAAATTTACTAACCGGCAATCGGATCGTTCATGCCCACCAGACTCCCGGTAACATATTTGCTGATACAACCAAAAAAAAAGAAAAGAAAAGAAAAGAAAAAGAAGAAAAAAGAAGCATATGAAAGCTTACGTATAGCAGAGCATGCGCTAGCCGGAAAATGACCAATCGCTCTGATTGTAGCACGTCACTGCCGATATACCGATATACACCAGGAAGATCAGTATGCTGCCCTCCTGTAAAGTAAGCCTTTACCTAGAGCTATTGTGAACTCCCTCCATCTTCACCACGTACTTCATGCATCAGATCCAGCTGACCTCTGCCTAATTTATATTCCGAAATGCACAGGCTTGACAAACCACATATTCTTTGACCTCATGTCTGTACCATCTTTCTGCTGTATATCGATGTCATAGTCCCGAACGAGCTGCGGGATGAGCTTGCTGATTTCAAACAGCGAGATATTTTTGCCGATACAAGTCCTTGATCCAACTCCGAAAGGAATCAGACACTGTTCCATTACTCGGAGCTTTTCAGAGTCATCCGTCAACCATCTCTCAGGCACGAAGTCATCAACATTGGAGCCCCAGATACTCTCATCCCGGTGAATGACCCAGCTATTTAAACCGACATTCGTCTATGACTCCATTAGCACATGTGGGATACCAATCCAGGAAAGGCACAACTTACACCCTCCGGGAAGAATCGTCCACAAATAATAGCACCCCCCTTCGGCACGATACGGAAAAGGGGAAACCCAACACCCGGATGCAGACGCATCGACTCCTTGATAACAGCCTGCAGATACGGCAATTTCTGAGTATCCTGGAAAGAAGGCTCGCTTCCTAGACCAGCATCTTGAATTTCTTGTCGCAGCTTCTGCAGCTTCTCGGGGAACCGAAACGAGTAGAATACCACTGAGCTAAGACCAATTCCTGTGGTGTCACTCCCGGCACCAATATTGGCTGCTGCGCTTGTCTGAATATCCTTATCCGTCAAGCTTTTGACGTCCTCTTGCCGAGCATGAAGAAGCCTTTGGACCATAGGCTTTGGCCCCTCAGGAGATGGATCTTTGAGAAATTCCTGTGACAACTCCAGGAACTTCTGCGCGTTGAAACGAGCCACGTACAAGGCATCTGACTTCTCGAAAAAGCTGCCGAGGAATAGAGCCAATGGCCGCAGCCAAAGGAGGAGGCCCACTGTACTACTAAAGGTAAAGCTGTTATCCAAGTTGGAGATCAAGTTGTTGATGTCTTTGCCCTTATCCAGGAAACCGAATCGCTCGCCGTACTGCTTAATTTAGCATGGCTCTCTCGGGGTAAATAAGGGAAAGGTTGGGCTGGAGGAGCATACCGTAATCTCGCTAATGGTATCAAAAGAAAAGCACTGAAGCCAGTGTCCCAGGTCCAAAGTCAACCCGTCCTTTGCAGTGGAGTCGAGTTTCGCACGCAACCGCCGGATACAGTTATTCACATAGGGCTCGTACGATACTACAGCAGACATGGCGTACATGGCTGCGACCTTGCGGCGGGCGCTGGAGTGATCGGCCGTGTTTCGGACGGAAAAGAGGTTATGGCCCTCCGGGTCAGGTGAAAAGTTCCAAGCTTCGTACCAGTCCGACTTGATAAACTTGGAACCATGGGCATATATGGTCTTGAGAGCATCGAGACCATTGAGACTGTACCAGCCGGGTGCGATTCGCACAATCTTACCTGTGAAGGTCTTCAGCATCCAAATTTGTTTATTCTCCGGTCTTCACACATACCATGCTCCCGATGAAGTCTGATATTCGTATATTGGAAGTCACCTCTCATCATTTGTCTGATATACCAGAATCGAGTTAAGCGGGCCAGAAAAGGGCCGGGAATGTCACGGTCAGGGGACAATGCCCGTCTGACAAAGACCCACAGGACCAGGCCTAGAGCCAGAGCAGAAAGCGCGGGGGTTGAGGACATGAGCATTTTGGAATCCCGAAGTGAACCAAAGCTCTGCTGTTGTGAGCAGATTCTTGATAAGTCTGCGTTTACTTGGAGCACCAGTCCACACTCTTATACTTCTGCCACGCATGTAGCCAACCAGTCCTCGGAGCATTCGGTCTCGGAGATGCTGACCCTGCATGCATATTGCCTTGAATGTTATAATCTAGGCAATTTTTGTCTCCACTTGCTGTTGATCTGCAGGGATATTTGCTTGACTAAGCGGATCTCGGCTCGATGAGCGGAAGTTGCAGTTGAACAAGATCTCATTATACATTGAACATCGAGCAGCGCACATGGTTTTGAGCAGCTTGCTTGAACAAGTGGTTGAATCTAGCTGTTAGCTTGGACAATATCCTCCTTGAAAAAGTTTTTTAATATCACATATGCTACCCTCTGAATCATCTGTGGTCATATCGGTCCTCGGAAGTGCGAACTGCTGACGCGGGTGATTCCCGATCAGGGTTCAATGCATCCCGTCAGCAACCCGCCAGGTGGTTCTGATGCCCGCCAATGAGACGAAGATGGAATAATACCCCATGGGTACCCTTCCAAGACTGCACGATAAGACGGCTCCAGCCCACATTACCCAGACCTGTAACCAATTGATCAATTGACGATTACTGTGTACTAATTGTGTCGGTAAATCTCACCACGTCTGGTGATTACTCCAATCACAGCACGGGTCTTAATGTCTTGTCTGCCGACAGTACTTTTCCATTCGAGATGAATTAAATTATAGTATGTTTCCAAAACGCACCTCTGCACTGACTTCAACCCTCGTTCTATAGATCCCCTCCCAGTCGAGATATATATATATATACATCCTCCAGATCAGGCGTCTGCCAAGTACGGTAATCTAGACCTGAGGTGCAGTATTACTGGTGACACCTGTGGGCCCATAATGCACACCCACACGCCCTTGGATATATACATATCACCGCCAAGCCAGAAAATAGATTGAATAGAGTCATTTGAAACCATGTTCTTAAAGCCTATACTAACAGCTGCTATGCTAAGCTATTACTTGTCTGTTGATGCTCATCTAAGTGGCTGGTTGTCTAAATATACAATATATGGTATCGGTCCTACTAAGTTAGGATGACTTTTCGTCAAAGGTTTCTATAATATAATGAAGAGCTTCAGAGGGCCGGAAAAAGAAAATAGAATAAAATAACAAAATAAGAATAAAAGTAATATACCGTACTCTTTCTCGGACTTTCACATAAAATGCCTACGACAAACCCACCAATCGACCAAGGAATGGCAGTGCGTTACATAATTCCTTGCTCATCATATTGCTGCTGAGAAGCAATGTGCAAGTTCTTGGTAATCTAGAGAACTAGAGCGGAGCAATAACGTAAACCAATGGACTCCGCAATAGCAGAATCACTTCTAGTTCCGTACCCTGCTGAGAAAACAGGGTAGAGACCTTGAGATGCCATCAAATAGTGGGATTAAGCCGAAGTAGATGGGACCCGAAGCAAAGCAGTTAACATTAACCTCAGGCTAGAGCTATGGTACAGTAACTTCCTACGTGACATTGTTATTTATAGCCGAAATACCCTGCATGTTGCTAGACTAGTTCCATGTGTCGCAATACGTATTACCAATCCTTAAGATGACAGCCTTATCACACCATATCCATGCAGGGATAACCTATGTTACACAGCGGATGCAGCCACCCGCCCAATCATCATGATGACAATCTTATCCATCTAATCCATCTTACAGATACAATCGCATATCATCTAATCAATTGGAATCTCATTATTTACAATACCCTAACATACACAGAAACCGGAAACACCAACAAAGGAAAACTCCTATCCATCCTGCCTAAAATCCTTGGATACCATAATCCCATGCAACGGCACCTCATCCCCTTCCTCGCCATTGCCCAGCCTACCACCACCACCACCTCCTCCAACCAACCCACTTGCTCCCCTACTCCCCCTAATATTCGTGACCGTCAGGCCGCGATCGTGTTTCGGCCGCAACACCGCATCCAGCTTGATCTGCTTCTGTGTGACGCCTACACCTCCCTCGTCGTCAGGTAGATGGTAGAAGGAGTGGCGATTTGCGCGCGCCGCCGTCATGCCCGCTGTGCTGCCTGTGCTGTCAGCGGGTATTTGGCTATCGTCGGACTTGGAGAGTGGAGAGGTGCGACTGCGGAAGAGAGCAGGCACGAGGGCGGATTTGAGGCCGAGCTTGCGGGCGGCGAGTTGGAGGGCTGGACGGAGGGTGGGGAGACAGGCGGAGACGATGCCAGCGGACATTTCGATTGCCGTCCAGCCTACGGTTGGGGCGAGGGTGTAGCTTGAGTCTGTGGAGGTGTAGCTGAATAGGACGGTGAAGCGGTAGGCAGAGGCGAAGATTACGCTGTTTTTGGTTGATTTGTTAGTAGTGCTGGTATGTCAAGGGAGGAAAGGGAGGGGGGGGATGTTACAAGAAGCCCAAGCCAAAAGCGACAGTGAGGGCGATTTTCTCGGATAGTCGGAGCTGGAGCTTCCAGACTTGCGGGAGAGGGAGGAATAGGATGATGAGGTCTGTAGCGATGGTGGAGGTTGCGTTGGCGATCCAGGTGCCGACTTGACTGATGCAGTGGCCGGGGAGACTGGGGTACCAGAGTTTCTGGACGGGGACGCAGATGAAGACGAATAGGAAAGTGATGCAGATGACCCAGAGAATGACAAAAGTTCCGATGGCGTAGGCCCATTTCTTGAAGTAGGGGAAGCGGAAAATGCGGTAGTACATAAGGAGAATGCTGAGCTTGGTCCAGACCAGGTTGAAGACGTAGAGGATTTCAGCGACCACGAGGTATTTGGCAATTAGGATGATTTGGGAGGTATGGAGATTGTCGGCATGGATACCCATGCCCTCGTGAATCATGCCAAAGATGAAGCCGACAACAATGAAGTTCCATAACTGAGTTGAATAATTAGCTGCATGCATGAGTGTAGTGGTATTGAAGAGAGAAACCCTACCATAGAGAAAATAATCATCCAGTCATCCCACCATAATTTCTGCTTGCGTTCCAAACGGGAGATCACCCGCAGAACAACACAAATAAAAGCCAACACCGTCACAGAGACCGTGGTGGCCGTGGCCCATGGCTGGAGATCTTGCTTCTCACCCATCGCCCCGGACGGAGACACACATACACACGCAGTTCAAGCACCAGCACCAGCACCAGCACAGGGACAGGAGCAGGAACGGTTGGTCCCACGCCCGTCAGGGCGAGAGCGGATCATTTAATATAGCAAAGGCTTTAAGGCGGGGGAAAATGGATCATGCAGAATGAGTAAAATCTTCAGCAGCAGGCCAGGATCCGGCAGAGGGTCCCCACTCGGGCCAGGCGCCAGACCACACAAACTTCAGTGCGGATCCAACACTTTCCCATTCAGAAGATGGCAGCCGTGACCAACGAATCATCCGCAAGTGATCCCTCCAGGTCTGACCTGTCAAGTACTCGATTTTTGATGTTTTGAACGCGCGGGAACTGGTCCGACTGTGCCGGTCTGTCGCCAAGGCCACGCCAGCCGCGACCGGTTCGCTTTAGTTGCGACCAATATTGAACTCCTTGCCTTCTAGACTGTTTTGCTTTTTACAGGCACACGCCCGGATTCGATCCGGGGGTGACTCTCGAGCCTCGAATCTCGTGTCCATCGGATTCCTTCCCGGTGGACTAGTTGATTAGTCTACTCGATAGAACTTCTTAGCTCAGGCACGCGAGATATACCCGTCCATACATGAATATTCTCTCGTATATACATATAGCTCTGATCTACAGAGTCCTACCTAGTACGGGGGTTGATAAGGTTGAATCGCGCTTACGCCCCATATTTCTGAACCATCTCCAACACCGCCGCATTGACTTCCCGCGGGTTCGTCGCATTCAGATAATGCGCTCCTTCCTGCACCAGCACCAATTTCGCCTCCTTGGACCTGGTGAACTTCGAGATCTGCTCGCTTGCCACCGTTGTCTGGAAAGGGGTATCTTCCGTGCCCTAAGGATAGTAGTTCGTATTAGCCCCACCCCCAACCAAAACGAACCGAACCGAACCATTGCAACAACTCCCCCGATGTGTCTTGGAAATAAACTCACCTGCAGCCAATAAACCGGACACTGCACATCCCCCAGCCTCAAAACCAACCCATCCCTCGTCAACAGACACATCAGTGCCATGCGCACCTTCTTCCGTCCTTCATCGCCCTTGTAAACTTCCTTCAGGACATCTTTCCAGAATCCGACCGTCTCTTCTGTCGCGCCCTTTCCGAAGCCAATGCCCCCGACCATGCCGCACCACACATCATCCACCACAAAATCGGGGGTGGGTGTCGCACTGCTCCATTTCTCCAGGAATGGGGTCAGTAGCGTTACGGGATCCCAGCAGCCCTTGGTTCTGGAATCGGAGGACTCGTAGTCCATGGATGTGCCGAGAGGGAGGACGCCGAGGATCTACCACCATCATTCACACGCAATTAGTACGACACTACCGTCAAAATATTACCCATCATTACCGACAAGAAGTCAAATTCAATGGGAAAGAACAACAGGACATACGTACCCTCTCCGGCGCCAACAGCGCCATTCGCATAACAATCCACCCACCCTGGCTGGTTCCCAGAGTGAACGCCTTCTCAATACCCAGCTTATCCATCACCTGCAGGGCCATGATGGCCGTATCCCAGTAAGTAAAGTGCTCCGCGATATGGCAGTGCGTGGCACCATGACCGAGAGGTTCAATAGCGAGGAGATTTGCCGCGTTAGTGAGAGTCTCGTCGTTAAATTGGGGCTCGTAGAGCGCAACAGTCATGCACATGGAGTTGATGAGAACTACGGTCGGCTTGGCGGGGTCGTAGGTGTTGCTGAGGCGGTAGCCGACGTCGATGCCACCCAGATGGGGGACAGTGATGGTGGTAGTTGCTGCCATGTTCTCTTTCCTTCCTTCCAGTGAAGGATAATGTGGTATGTGTAGAAGGGAGAGGAGATAGATAGATAGATAGCCTCTCTACAAAAAGAAAGGAGGTGAATTTGAGGAGGGGTAAGCTTTGGTGATGGTATCACGTGGGGTTAACACTGAACTCTACTCAACAACAACTAAAATGTCGTTGTCGTGTCAAATCAATAGTCTAATTCATTTCTTGGTACCAGGTACAACTTACCGCGCGGACAAGAACCAAGGAACCAACCAACGAACAAACATGAGCGGGGGATGGGGATAACTCCTTCCCGAAACTGACACTGACAGGCCAAATGACACTTCATTTGACGGAGAAGCTACCCTTTTCGGATGGCAACCCTGACTTCATCTCCAACACAGAAAAACTTCGGAGGCTAGCCTACAAAAGCCAGAAAGTCAAACCCTAACTGTAACTCGCCTCACTAGAGAGTATCTCTTAGTACTGCATTGTACCTCGGCCTCACCCCGAACCCTTCCCGAGTCTCAACCGAGACAAAAAGAAAAACGGATCCGCAGGGCTGGGTCCCTGCCACGCGCTCGATTGGTTCCTGCAGCTCAGATTAAACTTCTGATGGGCGTTTCGGGCGCTTTTTAGCGGGTAAGCCACTGTGCAGGGGCGGGAAGCAGAGTAGCCTAACTAGTCTAGTTGCTTGGGGTTTGTCACACTTGGGGACTGACTCGCAACTCATCATGTCATCAGTTCAAACAAACGTATAAACTTTGATTAATAACGGTCGGAACAAATGGAGAAAGGGAGAAGGACCGTGGAACACAAACGTATGACAGGCCAACTTAAGCTTAATGCCGCGTGGTTGGTGGGGAGAGTTATTCGTCATGGTGGGTTTGCAGCTTTTGCCATGTGCCGAGGGTTCCGGCATAGTAAAAAAAATTTTTATGGTTATGAAACCTGAAGATGCACAGGCATACAGACATCATGCGATCGTAATTAAATCATATCTTACCATACTCATAACTAGTTCGCTGCTATAAGACAACCCGATTATACCTTCTCTTCGTGGGAACTGCTTCCCTTCTCCTCATCATCAGCCACCTCCTGACCATCTTCCACCATCCTCTCCTCCGGCACCTTCGCCCACCCGATCTTCCACCAACTCTTCGTAAACAACTCCTCCATTCTCTCCATACTCCGTCCCTTGCACTCCGGGAACCCAACCCCGGCCCACACCGTCGCGAGCGTCGTAAACGCCGTGAACAGCGCAAACGGGCCCCAAGACTGCATACTCTCAGTCATACTGGGGAACCCGCGCGTACTTCCGAAGTTAAGCAGGTTCTGGTACGTGAAAGCAATCGTCACCACCGTGCCGCGAATTCGGGTCGGACAGATCTCCGATGCCGTGAGGGAGAATACCGGGGCCCAGCCGAAGCCGTAGCCTACAGCGTAGAGGCAAATTGCGACAATGCAAACATACGCGGCGGCGGAAGGGGAAGCTGTTCCGGATGAGGAAGATGGACTGAGGGCAAGGTAGCACGTCAGGTACAACAGACAGACGACGTTGATGGTGGAGCCGATCAGCAGGAGAGGACGCCGGCCGAAGCGTTCCGTCAGGAACCAGGCGTAGAAGAAGACGGAAAGGACCTTGACGAGGCCGTAGATAGCGGTGAAGACGAGGATTTGGGAATGGCCCAGGCCGATGGATTCCAATATATCTGGGGTGTAGTAGGTGATGCTGTTGCCACCGGACATAATAAAGAAGGTTTGGATGAGGGTGACGAAGAGGAGGATTTTGCGGGTGGGTGGGTGGTGGATACATTCATGGAGAAGGGATAGGAAGGCTTTGGTGGGAGTGGTGGGAGTGGATGTGGTGTCGAGTTTGCTGAGGAGTTCGGAGTATTCGCGTGCGAAGTACTCGGTGTTTTCGTCCATGCCGCCACGGAGTCGAGACAGGCTGCGACGGGCGGCGTCGACGCGGCCGCGCATCATGAGGTAGCGAGGGCTTTCGGGGAAGAAGGGGTATCCGAGGAAGAGGATGATGGCCGGGATGGATTGCAAGACGAGTGTGGTACGCCATTGCCAGCTGGAGCTGTCGGGAATGACTAGGTACGAGGCGTAGTTGATCCAGTAACTTCCTGTGACGCCGCTCATGATGCTCACGTTGTAGAAGGTGGTCATCATTCCGCGTAGCTCGAGGGGTGCAACCTCAGAGATGTATACTGGCCCTGCTGACATTCCTAGTCCAGACCCTAATCCGGAAAAAACACGCCCGACGAGGAGTTCGGCAAAGGATCCCCAGTTGGCGGCCATGAGAACGGCTCCGATCGCATAGCAGATGGCGGCAGCGAGGATGACCGCCTTTCGGCCGCGACGTTCTCCTAGTGGACCTGCGAGCAAAACTCCGACGGTTTGGCCCTGTATATAATAGCACTTGCTTAGTTCGAGCAGTTCATGGGACTATAGAATCACATACCAGTAGCATGGAGGATACCACCCAGCCCTCATTGTTCGAAACAGCCGTGCTGGAAAGCTTGTCCCAGCCAAAATCTGGATCCCATTGCTCCATCTGCATAGCACCCGAGATATTGGACGTGTTGAAGCCATGCAGACCACCGCAGTACGACGCCCAAATAACGGCCAGCCAGATGTATAGTCCACGAGCCGCAGGAGGCACCTGTTTGATGGCTTGGGGGGAGAACCCGCCGCCTGCTGCTCCCATGCTGAACTGAGGGTATGAGTTTGGGGGTATTTTTCGACAGAGAGAGATCCCAAGTTACCAGAACTGGGCTGTCAACATGCAATTGACAACTCAGGCAAAGGTATCTACTAAATACCCCAGGATATCACAGCCGATGCAACCAAAGGCATGATCAGTCCACATCTGCAGGTTTGGGGGGTTAGCAGCCAATCCAATTTGGCCGATGTCATCCGCTGCCAGCCAAGTCTGGGGTATGCGGATCCTATCCGGGGTTTCTCTTGGGTTACTCCGGCTGGCCGGAGCTGTCCATGAGAACCATACCCTGCGCACTGACATGGTGGTTTTGTGGTACCACCAATGAGGGGCGGCGCTTTAGTCGTAATGCTTGCTTTTGTGGAACCTCGGGGATAGCATCTAAGACCGGAAGATACGGGATATATATAGGCGGCTGATATTTGGGTTCAACATATTGCCGAATGTACTTTTCGATCATTCCTAGATACAGTTAGCCCGGAAATTATGTTTAAGCTAAGCTATAGAATGTAATCTCAGTCGTATACTGTTGATTTTATATGCTGAAGAATACCCCTAGACTGCCTTCCAGGGTATCCCCGTGGTATCTTTCGAGATCCTCTTTGAGAAACTCGCTTAGAGACGCACTAAAACACATCTGAGGCGTCTTTTAAGGCACCTTCTAGGGCACCTGCAAGGCAATCACCTAGATACTTTCTAGATAACATCCGAGGCCGAGCTCCCGGAGCATTAACTGGGTGCTATGAGACTGCTACGGGAGGCGAGCCCTAAAGTAACTGAGAAAGTAGGATTAAAGCAAGTCTCGTTTTCCTGCTCAGGTAGAGTGCGTCTGAATGAATCATATAATGGAGTCTCTCTGAGATTGCTTACTGTGAAGTTCGTTTGCCGAGATGGTAAGTCCAAAAAGAAATTTACCATTTATATATATAAGTTTTCTATATATTTGATTCATTTACTTCTCTGAAAACAATTATCAGCTATGTACCGTGGCCTTAATATGGTTCAAAGCACTGCCAGCCCGAAGCCACGGGAGCTGTCCGGCATGATAGCTGTGGCACAACTCAGCCTCCCAGCTGTCTCCACGGCGTGGAGTAACCCGCATGGTAACATTCTTGCCCGGTTGCAGCTCTTCATTTTCTACACCAATCAGAGTGATGCGATCTCCCTCTTGCACTCGGTCGTAGTCAGCAGGATCAGCGAATGTAAGTGGGAGCATTCCCTGTTTCTTCAAGTTCGTCTCGTGAATGCGAGCGAAAGACCGGGCGATGATGGCAACGCCACCGAGGAAGCGAGGTTCCAGTGCGGCATGCTCACGCGAACTGCCCTCACCATAGTTGTTATCTCCGACCACGCACCAACGAATAGAGCGGTGCTTCAAGTCCCGAGCCACTTCATGAGTAAGCTGGACCTCGTTCGTCAGCGGATGTCTCGTGTGGCCTAGCATCTGCGGGTCGTCGTCTAAGAATGCATTGGTTGCGGTTGTGAGCATGTTGTGGCTAATGTTCTCCAGATGGCCACGATACTTGTACCACGGACCAGCCGGTGAAATATGATCCGTCGTACATTTGCCCTTGACCTTCATCAGCAACTCCATGTCACTAGCACTTCCGCTCTTCCAAGCTGGAAAGGGCTCCAAGAGCTGTAGTCTGTCGGACTTCACATCGATGATAACGGAGTAAGAGGAGCCATCTGACGGGGGCTCTTGGAAGCGATCTGCACCAGAATTGAATGATTCTGGCAATTCCTGGCCTATGGGAGGTGTAAGCCGCAGTGGCTGTGATCCTTCCACTGAGATACTGTCAGTGACAGGGTTAAAGTCCAGGCGACCAGCATAAGCAAAGGCCGTGACCAGCTCCGGCGACGTGACAAATGAGTGAGTAGCCGGGTTGCTGTCATGGCGCCCCACAAAGTTACGGTTGTAGCTGGAGATCACAGAGTTCTTCTCTTTTCCGCGGACATCCACGTCTTTGCGGTCCCATGACCCGACACATGGTCCGCACGAGCTGCTGAGAACCATAGCACCGGCGTCTTCGAGATCCTTCAGAATACCAGCCTCTTCAGCGGTGGCCCGGATTCTTTCGCTGCCCGGCGAGACCAAGAAAGGAGTTTTGAACTTGGTTATTCCGGCCGCCCGGGCTTGATTGACCAGCTGCCGGGCCTTGTCCAAATCCTCATAGGAACTGTTGGTACAGCTACCCACCATGGCGTGGCTTAGATTCATTGGCCAAACACTCTCAGCGACCGCAGTAGCCAGCTTTGAAATGGGGTGGGCGAGATCCGGTGTGAATGGGCCGTTAACATGCGGCTCCAGAGTGTTCAGATCGATCTTGATGATTTCGT